TGAGAGCTTAATGAATGAGTAAAGTACCTCCCTTTCAAATAACTGAAAGTACTTTTGAATTTATGCCTCAGAATAGCTTCATGTGTCCAGAAGGGTGGTCTAGTCGCCATCTTTGCAAACAGTCAACCTGAGGCACAGAAAGGCAGACTGAGGATTATTACTGAGCTAGGGCTGGAAACCAACTCAGCCGCTTCTAGCCCAAACTCTTCATTTTACAGATGAGTAAACTGAGGCCCAGAGGGGGCAACCTACTTGCCAAAAGTCTCTCAATAAACAGAAGGGATTGGAATTGAGCATTTTTTTATTCTCAGCTTACCTTTTATTACTCATAGAAATCTTTCTGAGGGCCAACTAAATGTTTAAACACATAAACAAATATTCACCAGATCTATATATTGTATAGCCTTTCCCTCAAATGTCTTCTTGGAAGTCTGAAAGCCCAATGCTTCCCTCACGGTATTTCCCTTTTCGACGTGGTTAGATAGATCTCTTCCTCCGCCTTTTCTAGTAGTAGTTGAAATGCACAAATTAGTCTCTCTGGGGATCTCCAGCATCATCCAAGAGCCCCTTTTCAGATGCCTTAGAGTCTGATAATCAGCTGATCCAGAAAAGAGTGTGATTACGTGGGGGGCAGGGATTTTTCAGGAGAGGGAGAAAATGTTCCATCCCCAGATGTAGTACTATGAGGCACCCAGGAAAATCATAAGTCTCAAGCTGGGTAGGATCACCCAGTTTAGGTGAAGCTGTGTGTGGGCTGACATGTTTCTTGACATTCACCCCTGTGTCGTCTGTCAGCAAGAAGGGATGTGGAAGACCCAAGAAATGCTCACAAGGACAAATCTGGGCTTTCTTCATTTTTTAGGCAACAAAAAGATTGTTTTTTTTTTCTTTCTTTCTACAGAGCCTCCTTCCAAACACATATTTATTTTTTAAAAATGACTTGGAAGCAAAGATAGGACAAGGCACTCAGAAAGCAGGCAACAGCTATATGGTAGTTGTTAAACAGTGACTTATAAAGAAGTATTTTTCCAACCACCACCAGATTCTAGTCCATCGTGCGTGGACTTTAAGAATTGCCACTGTTCAGTGCCCAGACCTAAGAACCATGTGGAAAAAACGTGATTCCTGAATGCCCACCTATCACTGAAGGAGAGTTAGCAGAGTTGAAAGAGTTTGGCCTTGGAGTCAGCAGAAATGTGCATACAGAGCTAGCCTCGGGTGTACAAGGTGTGACTACAGGCAGGGCTTTTGACCTCTCTGCTTCCTCATCTGCAAACTAGGAGTGAGAATAATGGTACCAACCTCATAATGTTAAGGGGATTTAATGAGCTAATGTGTATAAAGTACATTGTAAATCTTATTGCTATATAAGTGTGATCTGTTATTAATACCAGAGTAAAGAGGAAACTTTATTCCAAAGGCATTCTGTCCCATGGACATCTTAAACTCAACATGACCAAATGAACCTAATTCTCCACTTCTCCTAAGTCCTCCCCTCTTCCTAATTTTCCTATTATTCTTTTTCTTTTTAAAGGCAATTTGGATTAAGTGAGTTGCCCAGGGTCACACAGCTAGTACTAATTTTCCTATTATTCTTGAGGACATCATCATGTTTCCAATCACCCCAAGGTCAGAACTTGATGTCATTCTCTACTCTCTTTTGCTCTCACCTTCTGTATTCAATTTGTTTCAAGTTTTATCTATTATACCTTTATATCTCTCCTATATGCTTTCTCTTGTTTGATACTGCTACCACCCTAGTGTAGACCATAGATCAATTCCGCCTCAAATACTTATTAGCTGTGTGACCCTAGATAAGTCATTTAACTTCTTCATATTGCCCTCCCACCCCCAAGAACAAGTAAGCTTCTTGGGCAAGAATTTCACTATCCTAAGACAGAATGGGTTGTCTATGGAGGTAGTGAGTTCCCTCTCCATTTCAGGCTTGATATAAGTTGAGAAAGATCCATGAATGGAATGGGTTGTCTCATGAGAATGAGGGTCACCTCTCATTGGTGGTCTTCATCCAAAGATCAGATGACCAGTTGTTGAATACATTGCACTGGGTTACTTTTTTATTTTTGCATGTGGGTTGGATTAGGTGATCACTGGGGGACTTTTTAGCTCTTGAAATTCTATGAGTAAATTTTCTTACCTGTACAAAGGAGACACTAACACTTACTTCAAAGGTTTACTGTGAGGCTCAAATAAGTAAAAAAAAAACTAACTCAGATAAGCAAAGTGCTTTGCAATGCTACTTACATGCCAGCTATTATGAATATCAGTATTATCCTCATCATTACGATGAGTGGATAAGAGCATGCCTCCTCTGTGGATTTGAATGTGAAACTTCACTATGGATTGCTTACCAATGGGCACCTTTCTCTCCTAGTATCTATACTGCCAACTCTCCCCTTTGAAGAGCAGGGACAGGTTTTAATTTTGTTTTTGCATCCCCAGTACCATGCATGCATAGTACCCAGAACATACTAGGCACTTAAAAAATGTTCACTGGATGAGAAGGGCTATGAATAGGCTACTGCCTGGTGCCCCTCCCACCAGGTTCCTTTCATTGTCCACTACATTGTGATGCTCACAGCCTGACCTTCCTCAGATCCCCTACTTCTGCCTGCATATACATGGCACAGGAAACTAGTCAGAGAATTCAACACTAGAGTCACTCTGCTTGATGCACTTATCCAAAAAAGTGCTTCATTAATATTTTCAGTGCTAGAGATAACTCTGTCTGGCTTCTCTGAAAAATATTGTGAGGGAGGGAGCAAGGAGGAGACCTCCATGGTACTGGATCCATTGAGCATTCTGTTCTCAGCCTCAGCAAATGGAATCATTTCAAAGGAGAATAAACAAAAAACAAACAAACAAATATTGCCTGCAGATGAAATTAATACATGGGCTTATTCAGTTTGCAGCAGCGGGGTCAGGGGGGAAGATCATTTTGCCTAATGTGTTCAAGACAAGATTTGCATTCTTTGGCATTCAAGAGGAACTTTCAACGTGGACTGAGGACTGAAATTTTCATTCTTGTGGTTGTTTCAAGAATTGAAAATATTTGGCCAAGGTGTTAGTACTCAGCTTAGAGCCATTCTCAATGCCTGCTTGCTTTTCAGGGCTTGGAACACTTAGCTGGATTTAAATCTGGTGCAGGTTTTCGGAGGGGGGATGGGGGAGAGGGAGAGAAAGAGAAAGAGAGAATGAAAGAAAGGAAGAAGGAAGGAAGGAGAGAGAAGGAAGGAAGAAAACTGTGGGGAGAGAGAAGGGAGAAAAACCTAAAGTTAGACTATCAAAGGGAAAGACAAGGTGATATTTTGGTTAAAAGTAAGACAGAGGGAGGTATTCTTCCTCTCCACATTGGGTCAGTCATGTTGGTACTGTCCTTAAGAAGAAATGGAGAGTTGACCTTGCTAAGTTACCGCTCCTTGATTTGTTAAATGTAGCTAGCTCTAGAGTACCATGGAGCATGGAACAGCAAAATGGACTGAAAACCAATGAGAATTCCACCACACTCCCTCTTGGACCAATAAACCAAATTTAATTTCATCTATCCCTCATAACTCTTAGTAGAGATACCAAAATCCCTCCCCTTATCCCAAGTGCTAACAGGGAAAGAAATGGTTTGAAGGGAGAAGATAAGCAAGCACCCTAGATAGCCATACCTTGCATAATTAGTGCCTAAAGAATTGGCAAGTTTTACCTTTAAAAGGTAGAAAGTAATTGGTTCTCTAGGAGTGAGAAAGAGGGGAGAAAATCAGCAGAAATGGTGTAAAAGAGGGGTGTATGTGTAGGACTGAAGGAAGAATAGAATTCAGGAAGCCATCAGAAAAACAATAAGATTGTTATGAGATCTCAGGGATGGAAGAGTCCACAAGACATACTTTCTCCCTCTATCCCTGGGTAAGACTCCAAAAACCCTATGACATCTTATTTTAAAAGCTCTCCCAGAATAAAGATTCCTCCAAAGTAGGGGTCTGTCATTTGAGGGAAGGGCAGGACAAATTGTTGGTACATGGATGTAATGCCATATGATTGTTTCAGAGATATTCTAGGTATGATTTGACTAAGGTCACATAGGCTGTAAGTGACAGAGCTGGGATCCAAGCCCCAGGTCGTAGGACCAGAACTCTAGATCTGGAAGAGATCTCAGAGGTCACCTAATCCAACGCCTCCATTTTATGGGTCAGGCTGGAGGGTGACTAAACTGCCCATTGCCAACACAGGCAGTCAGTGTCAGATGTGAGAATTTCCACCAAACTCTGCTGATTCCAAAGTCCATGCTCTTCACCATTGCACCATACTTTTCCTAAACCAAATATTAACTTTGAGTGGAAAAACCCACAAAACAACAGTCTATTCATTGTGACTCTGATGAGCAGTTACTTCAGACCACATACTTTTGGGGTTTTTTTTTAAGTTCTCAGACCCTTGGAAATTAACTGGAGTTTTAGGGACAACTGCTGTCCATACAACAGGCACCCAGGAAGAAAAGTATTGTGTGGGACCTCACTGAAGTCCTCTGTGGACTGCTTTATAACAATAATGGGACAGCATGGGTTGAGAGGCTTTTCTCCACCTCCTTCTAATCTATTCTCTCATCCTCCCCTCCTTCTGAATGAGTTAGACTCTTTACTCACAGTTAGGCAAACTTGAATGTTCAGAACACCATCACTATATTGTATAAAAATGAAGAGGACTCTCACCCTGGGCACTGTAAATCCTGGCTGTCTGACAGAGGACTCTGCTGGAGCCAGAGCCGTCATCCTTCTCGGTGGCTGGACTTCACAGCAGAAGTAATGTGATGCCGGCCGGTGAACATTGGGGGTGGGGAGTGGGGAGCAGAGAGGGAAGGACGCTTGACAGCTGCCTGCCCCAGCCCTCTACTTACGCTTTGCCATTCCTCTGTCCTCCAAGTATACAGTGGACATGCTGGGGAGTGGCAGGTCTGCTCTGATGCAGGTCTGGTATACAGGTTGCATTCGGTCTCCCTTGTTTTGTGGGCTCCAGTCCGACAGTCCACATTCCTCTGCTGGACTCCTCGGCCACAAGACACGGAGCACTGAGGAGACAGACAGAGTAAGTGGGAGCTTCTCATATTTTTTTTTTGGGGGGGGAAGGAGACAGGATGGAAAAGAGGCTTACATTCCTAATGAAAAAACTTCATCTATCTGGGATATTTCTGATTATTTCCAAAGAAAGTAATCAAAGACAGTGTCTCAGTTCTAGAAAATGCAAATTTTGGGGTTTATGTGTTTATGTTCAAGCCCAAGGAGTCAATACTGAAGCAAGCAATCCCAACCACTTTGTCATTGGAAACTCTAAGAAGTAAATCTGAATGAAAAAATCAAGGACAATATTGGCAAAGTATAAAAATGGGGATGTTACATTAAGTGAAAAACAAAAATGATTTCTGTCTGATGGTTTGGTGCACTTGAGAATTACAATATAGGGTAAGGCTGGAGTTTCATAGCACGATTTTGAAAAAAAAAAACCTGTGGAAATCTAAAAGAAATCATTGAACACTTTAGAGTCATGTAAGTAGAAGATATCTCCTCTCATCTAGTGCCTTGCAAAATATTCTCCCACCCAATTTCATTCTTGTATTGGTGTCTATTTGCAAATATGGATGCACATAATAAGAGGCCGGGGTGGGGGGAGAGAGGAAAAAAGAAACATTTTCTTAAGTGTTTTCAGCCCTTGAAGAAATAATGTAAATCATATGGAAATAATTTATTGGCCCAACCCCACAATACAACATATTAAATCTGCAATTAACTCTTCTCTAAATTAATTTTTTATGGTTTCTTTATGGTGAGGTTCCATAACCTCGCTTATGAGCAGGATGAGAATGATTGCTTTTATTAAGATTTAGACAATAAGAAAGGAAAAACATCATATGATTAGGATGGGCATTCTTGGCCATTAAAAATTTTTGCCAAACTATAGGGCTATCTCCACCTTCTTTAATGGGGCTGCCACTAACAAACATGTTTAACGTGTATTAAGGCCACATACAACTGAATGGAACTTCGTGAATAATGGAATTAAGCTGCTGACACAATGCAAAAATCCTCTTTCAATTAGCATGTAGGAAAATTCATCATTGGGTAAGACTAATGAGAATTCACTATCAGAAAACATCATAAAGCATAACTAAATGAATTCTTCCAAATAATCATTTTTTCCATTACAGACACTTAGCAATAAAAGTGCCCTTCTTTAGAAGGCTGGCCATGCATCCAAATTTATTCAAATATTTCCCACGTGAACACTGATATGGCTGTCAGCCTTTAAAAGTTTATAGGAAAGCTAATTGGATAACGGGCAAAGATTATGAATAAGCATGGATAGTATTACCTGAGGCTGAACCATGGAAATGGGAGTTAATACATCTGGGGCACATAAAGAATCAGGCTTTTGAGGCCAATTTTACTCCCCAGGGATGGTGGAGATGAAGGGATATGAAGTCTGTGCTACCAAAAACAGAGGGCCTGCTGGGAAGTGGGTGTTTAAGGCCATGCTATAGGGTAACTACTTTGCCAATGACAGAAATCCCATTGAAGGCAGAGGGCAAAATGAAAAACAAACCATTTGGCTGACATTCAATTGGAATATTGTGTCTTCAATGCAAAAGGCAGTCATGTTCTAGGATAAATTGTCTGATTAATAAACCATAGCAACCAAAGCCTTATGTAGATTTCTGTTAAACAGCAGATATGTGGCAGGAATGTTAGCCTAGGACTTACTGTTAGGCTGAGCCCAAACTCTTAAAAATGTTTTAATAGCCTAAAAGAAAAAAACAAAACATGATGAGTTTTGGGAGGACTTGGGAGGGTGAGGGGCTAACACTCTAGCAAGCTACCTCTTTTTACTACCTACAACAGAATTCCTGTGAAGTTCAAAGGAATTAATATGTTTTAAATGTTTTCCAAATGTTTAAACAATATATAAATGCCTGTTGTTTTTTTTAAAGAGGGGAGTCCACACCTGTGACTTCAACTATTTAAAGGAACTCCTTTGGTGAAAACTCCTCTCACTGCCATTCGGTGGCAATTCCCTTCGAAAGTATAGTGTTAAAGAGACACTTGGAGGCACTGGGAAGGTCCATGACTCCCTCGTGGTCACAGGGCTAATATGCATCAGAGGCATCTCCACGTCTTTACTACACCATGCCACATCTCTGCATGTCTGTGCTTTTTGTGATTATCCCTCTACCAAAGGCCAATTTTCTGGTGCGACTATACTAGAGTCCGTAGCTTGTACATTACCAATGCTAAGATATGATCAAAAGTGTCTTCTACCTTAAGAAAACGTCCACTTGGGGTCATAAAGCGAAGATAATAAGCTGAATAATGTATTCTTGCCTAAATTCATGCGTTGAAAATGCATCAAGTGGCAGGAAAAAAAACAACAAGAGAAATGAAACAACAGGAATTTTGGGCTTTGGCAAATTAAGTCAAGGAAGACGTCGATTTCTATTCATCAATTTCATGGCCATACATTAGCTGTAGCTCAAAAAGTCCAGGGAATGAATGTGAACCTTTAAAGGGAAAAATTAGCCATATTTTAAAAATGCCAAAGCCATTTGGGGAAGTAATGGGTAGGAAACAATTTCACACGATTACAAATGCCCACAAAGGTCCAGGCTCTGAATTGCTGAATATTGCAGCTGGCCTCTGCTACGTTTTCAGAGTCAGAGTGTATGAGGTTTGGAGACCTGTGTCACATTATTTGTTGTTACAACCATTTCCATGGCACTGGTGGTCCATTTTGGGTTCCCACTGAGTTCTCAGCAGTTAGTTCTGAAACCTTCCTGAAGAAAGGGCACTAAAAAATATAACAAGACCAACCAAACAGATCTAACATGATTCTGCTGCCTAGATGGGGGTGTCTTTTGTTAACTCTCAGTTAGTTTACAGAGGAAAGCACTGAAACTGGAAAGGTTGACTGCCGTACTTTAGGGCCATCCTCTTAATATTACAGATTACTGATGCAGTTTGCAAAGTATTTTGTTTTTAGTTCATAACTACTGAGCTGTGAGAACTGAGGGCATTTCTCCAGATTCTCTACCTAGCAACAGTGGTAGCCCTAAATCACTGGCTTTAGAGGGAAGTAACACGTTTGATTTAAAGCAGAGAGGGAACTCTGATCTGAATGGGGGTCTGAGGACTTGACGGCCTGTAAGGTCACTTCTATCTCTAAATCTAAATCTAAATCATTCTGCAATCCTTTCTTGGCTCCATGCCCATTAACCATATGTAGAAAACCACCTGAAAACTTTTTTTTGCATAAAATCTTAAATAAATTGAATCATGGAAATTCTTAAACAATCTGAGCCTCAATTTCCTCATTTGTAACATGAGGTTGGATGAGATGACCTGAGCCTATAAATTAGGGTATTGACATTTTTAGAATGGAATGATGTTGAATGTTGTTGGAAGCCCTTAGAGATCTAATTCAGGAAATGATCAACCATCAGTCCAGAAGACCAAAAAAGAAACATGCAACCCACCTTCTGCCAGAGAGGTAGGAGGGCTTAAGATGGACCGAAAATGTAGAAAGATAGAGATTTTTAGATGTGGACAATAGGGGAATTTGTTTTTGCTTGGTTATGCAAATTTGTTACCAAGATTTCCTTATTTAATTAGAATGAAGCAGCGTGAGGAACAGATAATAAGTGTTTGTAAAAATAAATAAATTTTAAAAGAGAATGTATTTAGAAGTGACTTTCAAAAGATCACAGACCATGAGAAGGGACTGCAATCTAGTCAGAAGATCACAGACTTGGACTTGGAAGGGGCTTTTGAGGTCATCGAGTCCAACTTTCTCATTTTATATCTGAGAAAACTGAGACCCGGGTAGCTGAATTCATATTCTAAGGTCATACGGGGAGCAAGCATTGGAGGGAGGATTGAACCAGGACTTCTGCCTCCAGAGTTCCAGAGCTAGTTCTCTTTCCATGGTACCAAGCTGCTTGCTTGCTACCTTACTTGTCTGGTCCTACACCAAAAGAGTTAAATAGAGACAAGAAATAATTCACTTCAGCAAAGTCTAAGGAAACCAGGCAATCTTTACATCAATCAACGGTGAATCTATGTGAGTGGGGAGGGGTGGGATGGAAGGAAGATTTGTCCCTATTATCTGATGAAGGACTGCCTTCCTCCAGTACTTCATTCTGCGCGTATTGATGCAACCATGACACATGGACCATAGTCTGTATTTCTATAAATGAGAATGAGGGAATAACAAGGTGAAGACTTCACTATCGAGTACTAGACAAATTGTCTCACGGCTTCAGTGGATGAGAATTGGGCTCTGTGCTTGAAAACTGGACTCCTAAACCCTGTCCCACCAAAAAGGTGGCCAAGAGCACTGCTTGCTGCACACTGGAAGGTGAATGTTCCCTTTCCAGATAGAAGAAAATTAAAAGGAGAACAGTAGACACTGTGTTTATTTCCTTGCCAAAGATCAAACACAGAAGTGGGATCTGCTTGGCTTCAGCAGGGGGGAAGATAAATATATAACAGAGCCCCCATCTCTGAAAAGGAGAGGCCCTTAAACGAATTTAAAATCACAATTAATGTGTCAATGTTGCTTATGTCAAGAGGTCTGTACAATCATACTCTAAATTGATGGCTTCTGGGTCAACATTTTATAAATTATCAGTAGTCCTCCTAAACCTAATGATCTATATTCTGTTTTGAATCCTCAAGGAAGACAAGATAGTGTAGTTTAGGGGGTTCTGTAAACTTAAAATATTTTGATCATTGTATTTCACTATGATTGACTTCCTTTTGTAATCCCATGTATTTTATTTTATGTATTTAAACACATTGTTTTGAGAAGTGGTCAATAGGCATCCCCAGACTGCCAAAGGGGCCCATGACACATGCAAATTTAAGAATTTCCGGGGTGCTGGATAAATAGCAGGCCCAGGAGTCAGAAAGACATGGGTTAAATCCTGCTCTTCATACATACTGGCTACGTGACCATGGGAAGCCATTGAACCTTTCAATGCTTCTAAGGCAGCTCTGTAAGAAGCTAAGTTAGAGTAGAGTTGCTAATCTCCATCATTG